TCCCAAGAACAGTGCATCTGCATTTCATTAGAGGAAGGAAAAAAAGCTGAGGGTCTCCCCCTCACCCTTTTGTCCTGGGAAATTTTCTACAGGTCCCAGAAGCCTCCAGCAGAAACAAAGCGCTGGTGGCTCCAGGGGAGCAGCAGCTGGAGTGCAGTGCCCAGCTCCGCTGGCATGGGCGGCAGGGACCTGGCAGGGTGCTTTGGGAACGGTTCCCAGGAAGACACAGACACTGAGTCAGGCTGGAAAACAGGGATTCCCCTATGTGCTCACCCCACAGCTGTCTTAACAGTGTTCATCCACAATCAGGATTTTTTTTGCTGCTGCTGCTGCAGACAAGCCCCTCTGTGAGAGACCGTTTGGACCCCCCTCCTCCCCCAGAGGATGAGTGGTGCATTAGCATTAGAAAAGACTCTTCCATCCCAAGAAAACAGACACTAGTGACTGCAGGGCCACCTGTAGGCACCGCCAGGCCCCAGTCTCTTCCCCAAGCAGGAGTGCATTGAAGCAGCTCCATCTTCCCTATCCCCCATGAGCAGGCTCAGTCCTCTCATGCAGAGCTGGGTGCTGATTCATAAAACAGGGGGAACAGGTGAGCCTGGGCTTCGGTACCTGGGCTCCAGCTCCTCTGTGTGCGAGGGGACTGCAAAGCAGGCACTAATGAGGCATGTATGAGCCCAGACTCAGAGATGTGGGGCTGGTTCTTGGAGCCACGGGGGTCAATGCTATGAAGACCAGGGCCTGATGCATCTCCCATGGAGCACAGGGACATGTGGAGCCTGATGTCCTAGGGGAAGGGGCACCCCCCAACCTGTACAGCTCTGGGCACTTGGGAGCAAACACCAACAAGCCCCAGAAGAAGACAATGGCACTGCAAATGGGGACAGAGGGTGTTAGGGCTAACTGTGCCATGTCCCACCATGTGCTGAGGAAGGCAGCTGAAGTCACAGAGCGGGGCCAGCGGTGAGAAGGGAGGCTGCTGGGACAAGACATCTCTGCTGACACCAGCAGCAGCAAGAAGCAACCACACGGGGCATGTTGCTCTGAGGAGGCTGGGAAAGCAGAGGCAGCTCTGCATTGTCCTTCCTATCTTCTTGCCAGCCAGAACACCTTTGCTCATGCTGATGCTGGAATGTTTCTTGGTGTTTGCCCCTGCTTTAGATGGTCTCCTGCTACAACCAGGTACAGCCGTTTGCTAGGGTGCCCACTCTGGAGTCACTCTTACCATCAATAGAGGTCAGGATGACACGTGAGTGGTCATAGGCGATCACGTTTGCATAGCGGTTTTTCGGTTTGTTCACTTCCAGGTTGGAGTTCTCCCAGGTGAACTGCTGCCCTGGATCAATGGACTGTGGAGAGAAAGAGAGGGAGGGACTCAGGAGTGGTTACAGCACAGCAGGAGAACGCAGCACGCGTGCAGTTCAGTCAGGAAATCTGCATGTCCCGCACACCTCTCCCCAGGCCAGATGCAGCTTCCGTCGCTGTCCCCAGCAGCAGTGTCAAGCCAGACCACACTGAAACCTGGTCGCCAGTGGAACCTGCCTCCCGTGACTTGCAGGCAAAGCAGCCCCTCGTTAGAGCAGCCTGCTGCAGATGAGCCTTCACCTCCACTCTCGCTCCGTGCTCATCCTTTTCTCTGGAGCTACCCATCAGCAGAATTTGGTCTTATGCCAGGACTCCACAGAGACCTGACTGTGCAGTTCTTGACCTGGCGGTTTTATTAGCTGTTGAACTGCAGTCTCCTGAAATATAGCAAGGCTTTGTGGGTGTCTTGTGCCCCAGGAGCTTTGGGTATTAGTGTCCTGCGAGACAGCCTATGAGCCTTTGCCAGGGAATAGTCATGAAAATTGATAGGTTACTATCCACCGCTCCAGCTACTTATGCAATGTAAACATCTCTCGTTTGAGTTAATAGAGTGACAAGGAACTATAAACCTGGAGAAGAGACATGGTTACAAATCTTGGCCAAAGATCCACATGCTGTGCAACTGCCTGAAAAGCACACAGCCCGATCCCACCTGCGTCCCGGCCTCGCACACCCCGTGGCTCCCTCACGAGCCATGTGCTGGTGTACCTGGTGCACAGCTCCTCCATAGCCAGGCAGCCCCTTCCCAAAGCCTTTCCTGCTCTTCGTCCATGCACAAAACAAGGGGAGAAAGGTCCATCTCCACAGCACCCCTCTGAGATGGGATGGCCACTTTGGCTGAGATATGTGGAGCACCCAGATAAGACAGCTGCCTCATGCAGGGACTTGCTCTGCACGTGTAGCCCTGGGCAAGCCTGGGGCAGGCAGCTACAGCAGAAATCAGTCATCCCATGAATCCCCTCCCCACAAAATTGCCAACACAGTCAAAGCCTTCTTAAAATCATGCTCCAGTTCAGGGTCCCCATAGCTTCGCTGGCCCACAGGCAAAAGTATTGAGGAAACAGGCCAGGGGAAGCACCACACCTTTTTCTCTCTGCAGGCATCTGCGTTCATCGCTTGGTGGAGAGCCACCTCAGAAGGTTTCTCAGGCACCAAAACACCCATGTGTCTGTCAGTTCTGGCTCGGCTGCGAGCAAATGGCTGAGCAGCGAAGCACAGCTCCCTGACTGGGCTGACCTGGACGGCCCTCACGGTCCCTCTGCTCAGCCCCATCAACTGCTCTCCAAGGTGACGCCCATCGCCACCCCAGCTCTCCTGCACTGCCGGGCAGCCAATTCCCAAGCAGCAGGTAGCAGGTGCAGGTCCCCAGCCTGGGTATGGAGCAGAGGCACTGCCTGCACTGCTGCACCGGCCCCGACGGCTTTGCTGCACACGCTGGGTGCAGGCCAGGGCTGTGCCAGGTGGCAGTCGCCTGTCCCCACATGCAGCTCGCCTCACCAGCCCTCCCCACAGGCTGTCCACAGGCAGAGGAGCCAGCGCTGACGAAAACGCACAGGAGGATGTGACATCACAGCCATGCTAATAGGTAGTTTGGGAAATGTAGGATGTAAATAGACATTTCCTACAGAAAACCTGTAATTTTCTATTATCAGCGTAATAAGCAGGCAGCAGCAGTGCTCAGAGGCACTGCAGCAGGGATGGTGGGAGTGGAGACTGCAAGCACCGCTTCTGGCTGGAAACCCACTGGCCCGGCTGCCACAGCCCCTGCAGGCACCTCTGCCCAGGCACAGAGACATCCCAGTGCAGTTCTCAGCTCTCTGGGGCACTTCAATTCAGGCACATTTATTTTATTTTCAGGATAGGCTGCTCACTGAATCAGCTCTTTGGATGCTCTCCTCTCTCAGCTCTGTGGCAGGGATGACTGCTGCCCACCTAACGGTGGGGTTGCACTGCCGAAGGGCAACAGAAATGATCAAAAAGTACAAGGAACAAAATGTGTAAGGACTTCTCTGCTTGGAGTAGAGATTGAATGAAAGGGGTTTTAATACCAGTCTAGTCAACCCAGAGCACACTGAAGGAGAAGCACAAACAGATAAACTAAAGAGAAAAATCCACCACTGCCTATCAAAGACATAAATGACACACTTTTTTTTCCAAAAGGTGGCCTTAGTCTGCACAGACAGCCCATGCAGAGAGCTGGCTAGCTGATGCTGGAGCTGAGATCAGCCCTGAAGGTTTGAATGAGCATTTTCTGGCCGCTGAGGAGCAACACAAGAAAGCACCAGCCCTGCTTGCACCCTGTGAACACTTGCTCAGCATGGGGCACAGGTGGGTGCTGGAGCAAGTCCCTGCTTTGCAGCAGAGGCAGGGAGAGCTCAGTGCAGTTATTTGCACTCTATCAACGCTGCAGATCACTGCCAAAAGGCTGCAGGGCTACCCAAGCTGTGGGGTGCAGTGTGCTTTGCACAGCAAGTCTGCGTCCTGCCACAGCAGTGGAAAGGGTTATTTCCTGGGGCAGACAAGGCTGCCAAGAGCCCCCAGAGGAGGAGCATCAAGGTGTTGCCATTAGGGTTAATTGCTTTGATGTGCAATGAGGATGTACAGAAACGGACTAATCATCATCAACCTCTTAAGAGGGCAAACAGGTGAGAAAGTCAGAAGTAATACAGCACCTGAGTGCAAAGAGGCTCTAATTAAATACTCCTGCAAATTAGTGACTCATTTAGAAGTAAAATGATTTAATTTAAACTCTGGTGATGAATTAATGTACACCTGTTCCCCCCTTTAAGGCAAACAAATGAGTAAATAAAAGGATGATGGGCTGCTTGGAGAGCAGTTCAAGCCCTTACATGGAGTGGTGGTTGGCAAGTCTTGTCCCATCTCCATACAATGCTCTGCAACCCCAGACTACGGCAGCACTGCCTTGTCTCCCCACCCTGCTTCAGAACTGCCTGGGCACTGGGAGTCTTCTCTTGCTCCTTTTTGGGGCTCATGGGAATCACTGCTTCATCCCAAAACTTGAGCAGAATAACACCTTCAACTCATTCTTCCTCGCAAGCAGAAGGGCTGGGAAATTGGAAGGAAATGAGCCAGGAACAAACTGAAAAGCACCATGACTTTCAGTTTTGCTTTGCTTTAAAGTGACAGGGGAGATGTAAGACAGCAAGTGCAAATTAAGAAAAAGCCCAATTAGTACAACTCCTCCTTCCCAGCATGGAAGTGCAAGGAGCAATCTCTCCTGAGTAGCAGCTCAGGGATCCCTGCTGCTACTGCCATCAACAGAAAGGCAGAGCCTGACCATTGAAACGGAACTGGAAAAAGGCATTTCCTCGACAGACTTAAGAGCACTTTACAGATGTCTGTCTCTCAGATACCTTGGGTTTGCTGCCCCATACCCTGTCCTCAGTGCAGCTCCAAAATCCTTCTGCATGCAGAGTCCCCGCTGGCTTCCCGTGCTGTTGGCAGGCACGGGCAGCCCAGGCAGGCAGACCGCTGGGGCCGCAGGCAGCTCAGCTGGCCCCAGCCGTGGCAGCCAAGGAGCTGGATGGCCACAGCCCCCTGCTGCTCAGCAGCCCAAGGGCACGGGGAGGCGGAGGCATTGGGGCTGTGAGTGCTTCCCAGCCTCCTGTGAAATCAACCACATTAGCACAGGCATTGACCACTGTCAATCTGCACTGCGTCTCAAATGAGGACATAATGCGCTCCTGAATCAATCGCTGGCAGTGCTTCAGCCTTATTATTCTTATTACCGGAACGTGAGTGCTGCCTACCTGCCAGGCAGCTTCCCGATTAGCCCATTAAACCCACAACACGCCGCTCCCTGGGTGCAGCACGTTCTGGGGTCACTGGCCCCAAGGACCCCAGCAGCTCTCCCTCTGCCCAAGCTGCCTTGCCAGGGCTGGGGGCACGGGAGACAGAATGTCCTCAGTGGCTTTAAGGGAAATGCAAGCTAACAGGGGTTTTGTGCAGGCCAGCAGTGTTTCTCTCCAGATAAAACTGTGGGGAAGGGGCTGCAGCCTCCCTGCTGCACTGGGAAGCAAAAGCACAGTCAAATCTCATGCACAACCTAAAGATTATCAAGGACCAATGTGCTGGGCAGTGGCACCCTGCCTGGCTCTCATCGCCTCCAGCCTGCTCAGGTCCCATGGGCTGCCCACTGGAGGGATATGCCAAAGGGATGGGGTGTGAGGGGCAATGGCCACAAGCTGCAGTTTGGATGTAAGGAAAAAATTTTTCCGTGGGAAGGTGGTACAACATCTATCCCAGAAATGGCAGCAGCCACAAGGGAGCAGGTACCAGCCCTGGTTGGAGCCAGTCCGTCCTGGGTTTGCTAATAGCAACAAAGGGGACAGCAGCGCTCAGCTTGCTGGATCCCACAGTAAGAGTAGGAGACGTGGTGCTTATGTGCACACTTGCTCATCCCAGTGTGGATACTCCCCACCGGAGGAGGGCAGGATCCTGCCCCATGTCCACAGGCTGCAGCATGGGAAGGTGGCCCACAGGAGGAGCTCCAACACAGCTGCAGTGCCCACCACAGCCCGCCGACAAATAATTAAGGGCCTCAGCCTCCCTTCTACTTATTTAATTCCATTAATCCCACACTGTAAATTCACTGTAGCTCTCACTGTACACTAAAAATGAAATACTCTCCTGGTGCAGCTGGGCCAGGAGCTGCTGCCAGACCCTTGCACCCTGCTCTCCCCAGCTCTGCTGCATGCTTGGGAGAGCGTGGTGTGCTGTTCACAGTGTGCAACGTGCCTCTAGCCAGCTCAGCTCCCAGCACCTGCAGTTCAGCCTCTCCTGTTGCACCAGGGTACCAGTGGGTCGGGCTGGGATTACCCCCTGCCCGCCAGGGGCGACGGCCAACCTGCCGCTCAGGAGCCTGCTCTCACTGCCGCCAGAGCACAGCTCTCTGTGTCAGCCTTGTTGCACAGGCTGCTCAGCCATGTGGGTTAGCAAACTGGTGTGAGCAATATTATTTGTTCTCTGACCTGTGGGAATGGAGGTCAGACAGCCCTGAGAAATCTCTGCCACCCTACCTGCTCCCTTCTCAGGCATGCAGGGAGGTGCTGACAGCTCTTGTTTTGTGTCACTTGTGTCTAGGTTACCCTTCTATCACTTGCACAACCAAGACAAGCGCCAGACTGATGGCTCTGGGCAGCTGGTCTCAGTGGTTAAAAGTGTTGTTAAATATTTGCTCTCTGCCTGGGGTGCCACAGCTCCTGGAACGTGAGCCATCTATAAACAGCCCTGAACCCCACAGAGATGTTAGGCTGCCAGGCTGCTCTGCAAAAACACTTAAAATGCAACTATTCCAAAGCACAATCAAACAGCAAATGGGCCGTGGGGGTTCATCTGCGATGCCTTCATCCCTCGGCTCTCCCTGCTCAGCTGTGCTATGCCCAGTCCAGCAGCACTATCATGCCACAGGGAAACGGGGTCAGGGCCTCCATCTTTCCAAGTGCTGGGTCACTGCTCAGCGCTGTGTAGGTCTGGGCCTCATACAGTCCCAGGATGAGCACCAGGACTGTATCATCTCTTAATGACTGCAATTGCACAGAATTTGTCGAGCTGTGGTTCTCTGCTTCTCCTCGTGCTAGAAAGCACAAGCTCCTGCAGGGACTGCACAGCTGCTCCCCTCCCACCTCTGCTATTTCCGCATCCACTCTGCAGATTCCCTTACTCAGCAGCACAAGCCGTGCCCATCCTGCCCTCCAGCCCTCCCACCACAGGCCCCAAAGGGAGCTGTCACCATGCCAAACACATGCATACAGGGACCAGGATGAAAGCAGACCCATCGCCGCTGCAATCCTGCCCAGGCAGCTGCCGCCCTCTGCAAACTCAGTCCAGGATTTTTCTCACTGGCACGTCAAATGGGAAATGACTGTACTGATCCCCACATGCCAACAAGGGGTAACCACTTCTGCTTTGGGGTCTGAACTAGTGTCACACACCATACAAGCATGTCATGTTCAGTAATTTCTAGCTGATGAGGAGTCAAACACAGCAGAATCCTCGGCAAAAAAATTACATGCAACAATCAGCTACTTAATAGCTGCTTCAACATGACAACTGATTGGTGCTCTCAAGCAGCCATGATATTCTAAAGAGAAATGAGAGAAGTGAGAGGTTCATGAAAACATCTAAGAGAATTTACTTAATGCTCATTTTTGCTGAAACAGTTCCCACAGCTCAGTATTATGCTGCAGGCTCCAGCCAGCACAGGCCTGGTGTGAGGACGGGAGCGCACAGACACTGGATCCCACTGAATCACCACCGCACAGCACACAGCCCTGCTTAACATTTCAGATGGACTCCAAACAGAAAGCCCAAGGCAGACAGATATGACGGCAAACCTTGGCACTGCTGGCAGGACACACATGAACACACAGGTAACTGCAAGGGAAGCACATTATTCCTGTAAACTTCTAACATGTTGCAGTGTAATGCTGTGGCTGGTGAAAGCTCAGCTCTCAGCTCCTCTCTGGTCTAGACAGCAATGTGCAGAGGGATGGCAAAGCCCTCCCTCCACTTGGCATCCTGAAGCAAAAAGGAGCTCTGTGCCTTCCTCAGATACATGCAGCACACCCTTTGAACTAGCTGGAATTCATCCCTTACCTTCTCAACACAGAGATCTGCTTTCCCTTTTCTGGCATATATAATCCTAACTTGTGGGCAAAAGCTCTGATCTCATCTCAAAAATCAGCGTAGGTATGCTCCAGGAAGGGGAGGCCACAGGCACAGGCAGATAACAATTCAAACAGAAGTGATAACACATGCAAAGGACACTTCCCAAATTTATTCCCTCTTTAATACTAGTATGGGGTTTATTTACAATTCCCCTGCAGCTCAAGAGGGTCCTGCATGTAAGCACAGGAAAGCATAATCCTGCCGCTGCTGCTCTCATAGCTGCAGAGGAACTTTCCCTGACTTCACACATTCTCAACCTAATCATCCAGCTTGGAGAGTGGTGAGAAAGGCAGGGCAGCCCCTGTGCAGGTCAGCCCCTTCCCCTCCATGTGTGCTCTCTCTTGGCAAGTTGTCCTCAGAGGAGGACGGGAATGGAGGGGTCAGGCTGGGAGAAGTGCTGTCCACGATGGGGGGTTCACTAAACACCCAGTGCTTCCCCGTGTGCATAAGCAAAGGCAGCATCAGCGGTGGGTGTGGGCAGTACCTATCTCAAAGCTCCACCAGAGATATGGAGGAGGGCAGGAGTGTGATTCCGCAGTGCTGGGGAGTCTGCAGCTCAGGACTGCAGGGCACAGGCAGAGAGCTCTACACAGGGAGGGGAGCTGGGACTGCTCCAGGGCAGGGGGACATTAGCAGAGTTTCTGGTGGCAGAGATGCTGAATCGCGCAGGTTAATGCCAGCACAGTCCAGCAGTGTGCAGGGGGAGAGGAGGTT